TATATTTCGTGACATATGCATTGAAGCTTCGCGATTTTGAGCTATCATGGTGCCTGTTAGAATGTTGAAGAGCTCGCACTTGCGCACTAGGGAGGTCCCAGGGAGATGCTGATGCAAGGGTAGAGTATGCATAGAGTGAAATATCTCAAGAATGTTTTGACCAAGCAACATGTCAGAATGTGTACATTAATTTCCATACTTTAAAAACTGTATCTACTGTCTACTTATATAAAGTACCTAGAGTACTGAAACCCATAGCGGCAGGAAGTAGAATGGTGGCTGCCCAGGATTGAGAGGAGGGGGAAATGAGATGATAACAAAATCTGGAAATGGATGGTGATGATGGTTGTATGCACAATGTGGATGCACTTAATGCCACTGAACTATATACAAAAAAATGGTTAAAATAATAAATTTTATATTATTTGTATATTTCATCAATTATATATATGCACACACACATGCATAAGGAGTCTTCTCTAACGTAAAACCTAGAAACTATAAATTTAAAAATGAATACATTGCCTACATAATAATAAAAATGTCTTCATGGGAAATAATACCATAAACAAAATCAAAAGACAAAGAATAAACTGCAAAAATATTTGCAACACAAATGACAAAAGCATCAGAATCCCTTATGCATCAAGAAGGAAAAAGACCAACAATGCAGGAGAAAAACTATTTTAAATTTAATCATTGGCTATTTAGTAATTGTTTGTTTTACTACTTATGTGCCAGGCACAAATTTTAGTGCTGGGAATATAGCAACAATGAAAGTAACACAAGGAGATTCCATACCAGTTAGGGAAAATAATAATAAACTAAATAGAAAAGTATATAATAAGGTGGAAAGTAATAAGTGATACAGAAAAGTAAAGCAGGTGTGGAAGGAAAGAGGACTGGACGCAGGCATAGGTTTGGTAGGTTCCTCAGAGCAGGTCTCCTGAGAAAGTCACATTGAAGCAAATCCCTGAAGAAGAGAGAGATCTTCTCAAAGGGATGAGTGGGGCCTAGTCACCAGGCAAAGATCCTTAGGGAGATGGGCCTGGGAGGCCGAGTCAGGGAAGTAGATACGGTCAAAAAGCCGCAGAGGAACTGCAGGACGGCCCGGGGACTGGAGAGCCTTGCCCCAAATGCGATGGGATCCACTGAAAGGCATGAGTCAAGGGATGGCATAACCTGATTTCTACTTTTAAAGGAAGCCTTTGGCCACCTGGTTACAAAAGAACTGGGAGGGCAAAGGTCAGAGCAGAGAAGTGGATTAGGATAATCTGGGTGGGAGTCTGTGGCGACCTGGACCAGAGTGGCAGCTGTGGAGGCAGAGCCTGGGGAAGTGGTTGGCTTTGAGTGTATGGAGAAGCACAGCCCTGGCAGACCCCGCAGATGGGGGGGGACACCTGAGGAAGGACCCAGGAGGTGCGGATTGATGGCCTGTGCAAACTGGAAGGTGAGCCGCTGTCAGCAAGGAGTGGCTGACAGTCAGAATGATTTTTGAGGGAAGATTGGTTTTGTTTTGAAAATGTTTCATTGGAGACGTGTCCAGGACTTGTAAGTGATGATTTGTGAAAACTGCTGGCTACACAGGGAAGAGGTATGGAGAGGTTGGCTGGTGGGAGCTGGAGACTTGGCAAGTTAGCAGCCTGTGGGTGATACCAAAAACCAGGAGACCTGACCCCATTCCAAGGCTTAGAAGTGGTCCAAGGACTGATGTCTAGGGCAAGTCAAGGAGAAGTCAGGGAAATGGGGAGGAGCTGCAAGGTAAGAGGAAAACTAGGGGTGCTCTAGGGACCAGTGGGAGATGTCAGGGAGGAGGGAGCTATCAGCGATGAGCAGGGTCGGATACTTCCGGGCCAGGAAGCATGAAGACTAAGGACTTACCTTTGGATGCAGCAACAAAGTTACCAGTGACCTGCAAGGAGCCGGGGGTAAATGGCGGAGAGGGCATCAAGAGAGAATGAGACAGAAGAAATGAAAACACTGAGTATGGATGGATAATTGTTGAGAAGCTTTGTAGTAAAGCGAGTGCATAAAAATGGGCAAAGATATGGAACGTTCACAGAAAAGAAATACATATTGGGAACATCTTCCCAATACCATGGGAAGATGCTGAACTTCACAATCTAATAAGTGTGCATGTAAACAACAAAGAGGTGTCTGTTTACGCCCATCACAGCGGGGAGATTAGAATGTTGGAACCACACTGCCGGAAGGGAGAGAACCAACTGTGGCCACTGTTCTTAGCACTTTACTCACAAGCCTTTCTGGTCATAAAAATGCGGTTACACTTCAGCCCAGTAATTCTAGTCCTAGGAATTTGTCCCAATGGACAAAGGCACACTCGTAATCAATGACCACGCGCAATACATTCATAGCATTCTTGTGTATAACGGCAAAGTCCTAGAAGAAATCCATGTGTCCACTACGGTGCAGCCAAAAATGAAACAAAGCCACTGTAGGGACAGACATGGCATAAATGGGTAGACTGGTAAACAAAGAAAGCAACTGCATACCCTCTCTCCTCGTTTGCTATGAGAAGGGACACCCATGTGCATGCCTGGATAGGTCTGGGGGTTTCTGGGAGCACACACTAGCCACTTAAAATAGGGATGACCTGGCAGGAAGGACTGAGGTTCAAGGTGGGAAGCACATTTTATTTCTTAGCCTTTGCAAAATTTTAACCATGAACATGTAATGAACATGTAATGTTAAATTTAAAATAAAAACTTACGCAGGGCTGTCATACCATGGAGAGTTGGAGGGATAATTGTTGTATCCAACCAACTGACCCAGTGGTTCCCACAAGGACTGATGTGCAGGTTCCACCCCTGTTCCCAGTCTGGGGCATGGACAGCAGTCCTCAGGCTGCTCTGAAACAGGGGCAGGAGGAGGCACTGGGCACCGCGCTCTGCAACAGTCAAGTCCCTGGAGTGATTGAGGGCCTCTCAAGTGTCACACTGTTCGGGGCTTTCCCCACAGTGAAGAGATAAGCAAGGGGCTCTCAAGGAGCTTCCCTGCTATCAGAAGAGACAGCTGATAACATTATTTAACACTAGAAAGACTGAAATTTAGTATATACCTATATTGCCCAAAAGCCGTCAAAATGACTGCATTGTGAAAGAATAACTAATGTGTAAAGAAATTTGTTTAAAATTAATTTTTAATGTTTTTTATATTATTTACAGTTATATAACAAGTTATTCGACATTTCTTTCATGAATTTAGAATTTATCATGTACTTGTATGTTATCATGTGACGGTAATCGAAAAAAAATGAAAACTGTTATTTCAATACAGAGCCGAACTGGTCATATAAGAAATTTACTCAATTCAATAATAAGAGTTATTTGATTATTTTGTCGGGAGTGACATGCTAGTGAAAAGGTTATCGGTGGGGACATTTCTTCAACAGTCTGTATATGGCTCGACAAGTTTCAGAACAATGTGTTCACTGAGAAGCATTGACGATGGTTGTTGTTCATCTTTCCCCAAATAAGGAAAACCATTCAAAACATATTTGCTACTAACATCTGATGCAAGCCAGAATTTGATGCCAACTTTGTTGGGTTTATTAGGCATATACTGTGTAAACCTGCACCTGGCTTTTGACGGAAATAATTGCTCGTCAACTGTTATATTTTGCCCTGGTTGATAGCAAGCTTGACTATTTTCAATG